GGGTTTACCTCAAAACCAAATTCAGAGACTCCAGAAGGTACAAAATACTGCAGCACGCATTGTATCGCGCATAAAGAAATCTACCATATCACCCCAGCTCTTAAAGTAAGTTAAAGATCTCCACTGGCTTCCTGTGAGTGAGTGCATTAACTACAAAATTCTGTACCTGGCGTAAAGCTGTATGGGAGGCTCTGCACCTGAATATCTTAAAGAACTTAATTCCAAACTTATATCCTTAAAGAGGCTGCGCTTTTCAACAAAGTCCATGCTCAGAGTTCCCAGTGTGGATGGACACAGAAAGAAGTCATACAGAGTATACTCTTTTGAAACAATAGCACCTAAATTATGGAACAGTTTACCTGTCTTTAAGGGACTTTAAAAATGATAAAAAATCATTTAATAGACATTTAAAGACATTAATCTTTAAATATAGTTTATGACATCAGAGCGCTTTGAGCATGCTAGAATAGCATGGACAAAAGCATTATAAAAGTAATCAATCAACATCAGATATCCTTAAAATAGAGTAATATGTTTTACAAGCTAAAATAAAAAGTATATGTTCTTTTCATTAATGATCATAATATTTATTAGTATGTTGCCAATATCATTTTTCCCCCATATATATTCAAATTTATGAATGCTGTTTTCTAAATTTCTTTTCAGACTAGAACAAGAAAATTCTCAAGCTACTTGGAGTTTATTTGATGGAATATTTTAATTTTTGTTTAACCCATGACTTTAAAAAATCTATGTACCTGAAATATAATTCCATTGAAAATTTTCAAATTAATTTTTGCTGTTTCATTGTAGATTTTGAATAGTTTATGATGTTCTTAAAAAAATTAATTTTTGTTATGTGTCAGTTCAATGAGTGTAACAACCTAAAAAGTTATTTCAAATATACTATTAATTCTTATAATTGATGTCACAAATTTTTGACCACCCCCTTCCACCTGTCACAAATTCTCAACCCCCCCCCCCTCGGAGTGTGACATAAAATTTGTGAACGACCCCTTGTCTTTAATGTTTTTTAACACTATTTTTTTAAACTGATAACTCAGTTAGTTGATACTTCTACCACCTAGAGAAAATTACAAATTTCTTGTAACAATGGATAAATATGTTTTATTTGGTGATTTTATAGTAAAATTAGGACAATAATTAAAAACAAAGAGTTATCCTTCCCACTGTTTCGGTAATAAGCAAATTTCATTTTATAAAATCAATCATTCCTTCCACTTCCATTAATAATAATAAATGAATTATATATATACAGTAAAAAAATGTTGATATTATTATCTACAATATAAAAATAATAAATGAATAGATTAAAACAAATATACACAATGATTCTTACACTGAGGGGGCATTTTTAAATAACTGAAACTAACAACAGATTTTATAATAAATAATTTAGTTTTAAATAAATTTGTAAACATTAATGGTTAAATCAATAACATTTCTGAATGTTCAAGCATAATCTAGTTTCACAACATGGTGCTCTCAAGGTAATAAAATATTCTTACAACTTCAAATAACATAGATTAGTACAAACAAATTTTGAGTTGCATACTGATGTGAAAGGAAATTTTCTCAACTTTCATCAGTTCATATAGTAACTAATTCAGGTAACATAACTTCTTCATTACAGTATTTCAGTCTGCTACCTCGTTAGGAAATCTTTTCAGTCCTATAAAAAAAAACACTTAAATTTTTGTTAAGTTTACCAAGAATTTTGCTTAGCGTTTTTTCATTTCAAACAGTTAGTAATAAAGACATTTACATTTTTTATATTTTTCCTTCTCTTTATCATTAAGATTTAAATTTTAAGTTGAGCATTTATCTTATTTTTCCACAAAGTGTAATGAATCGGTTAAATAAGAAAAATGAGCTTGATGGGATTTTAAGCATATGCTATTTGTATTTAGAAAGTGATGCATATAATTCCTCTTATTTTTATGCTAGAAGTTCAAATAATTTATTTGCTTGAAAAAAAATTTCAGTAAATGTTCTTTTCTCCAGTAATTAAAATTAATTACTATAAAAATGGCCTATATAAATGATCACATTTTACATAAAGTAATGACCCCCATGGAAGGAAAAAACACACAAGGCAACAACATAAAACATTGCAAAATAAGTTACGGTACTGCTGCCTCTCAAGTCATTCACTTCAGTGGTGTAAAAACAAAGATGATAAAGTTAATCACTAGACATTGTTGAAACAAAGAGGTAGAAACAAAGCCATTCAACCATAATCAAAATGTAAACTAGCAAGCCACAAACTATCATGATTCAATCTTCAAAGAGCAGTAGACCATAAAAAAAAAATTTGTTTGATTAATATATTGAAATCTCATACTATTAACACTATGAAAATTAAATTTGAAACGCTGCTATTAGTATTATTAGTAGTATAAATAAAATGGTGATTTAGTAACAGTTTGACAATTTAATAAGTAATACTCTAAATTCACATTTCAATATTTGAGAAACATCTCAGCTTTTCAAGATGGTTAAGAGTCTAAATGTGGGTTAGTGGCCATATTATTAAAAAATATGAGAAAGTTCATTAATGAATACAGTAAGTTGTATTTATACATTTCCAGGGACATGAAACTGACGATGAAACATTACTTCATTACGTTTAATCATGCTATTCTTTTAATAATAAAATGTTTGTTTTTTTCCATTTAATTTGAATTTCCATAAAGCTTTAAATAAACTGGAAACGGCGATAGCTATGATAGCTTTCAATTTTTGGGGGCCTCATGTGAATTTAGTATTAATGTTGACAAAATTAATCACTGGAGTCCCTAAATCACACTTTGTATGGGGCTCACATGAATGTGGTATAAAATATTTATAAAAAGCATCCTACACCTGAGGAGACTGGCAAACAAGTTGAATTACTGATTTGTCAGCATCTGCCTCTGAAGACATTTTGCATCTCATGCTATTTATAATATTTGGTACTAATGCTAGTTATTTGCTGCAACTGTTTATTTGCAGATGTTTTACTTGTTTTTTAATGATAATTTATTATTATATGCAGATATCCTAAAATGTTTACATTTAAAAACAAACTATGTAAGCAAGATAAATTTCAGAGGTTGGCCCTTAATTTAAAGATAATTTTTTGACAATTTCTGCCCTTGTGAATGCTTCAGGCATATTGTTTCCATTGTAATATGTGAAGCTTTATAATTCAAAATAAAGGAACACAGCTAAAAATTGATGTGTCCGAATCTAACCAAAAGATTACCCTAAGTCCAAAGAAATAGTAATAGTTATTAAAGAGAGAATTTCAATAAAGTATCTAGCTCATCTTTTGTAAATTTTCAGAGTTATAACCTAAATCTACTTTAGTATGTTTTATATTTTCTTGCTCTCTGCTTGTAACTGTTCTGGACATGTTCTGAGGTATTATATTTTTTTAATTCTTCATTAGTTGTACTTGTTGTAAGGTAATATTATATTACTTTCCAAATGCATGTGTTCTGATTTATTATTTTGCTTTTCTCTGTATGTGTTCAGAATTATTAACTCGAGTTATGCTCAGTATTTCTAGTTTAAAATGAGAACAGAAGCAGCTTCACTTTTTACTTGCAAAATACAAAATATATTATATTATTTAAAATGTTTATTTACAATATGATCAGACAGGATAAAACATAAAATACTTATACCATTCTACAAATGTTTCAAATACCAGGTGAATAATAGTAATGGCCTTTTATACAAAATATTGGAAAAGTTTCTCAACATAATTTTCAGAGCAGCCTCTAAAATAATTAACTCTAATTAAACGTTTTAAATAGACTTATTTCCACCAGGAACACTAATACAAAAATAGAAGATTTTATTATTGCTATTTACAAAAATCCGTTTATTTACACATATTTATGAACATTTAAAAAACAAATTGACATTATTGCACACAATCACATTGTCATTTTTATAAAATAAAATACATTTGGGGTAATGAGTTCCAACATTGACCAGAGGCTTTAGCCCACTAAGTCAAACTTTCTTTTGAATTCCTGTATTTGTATTGTATGGGTTCAACAAAATGATTTATTTTCTTTTATCAAAAGATGATTTACAAGTCTTTAAAATTGTTTGACAAGATTCCAAATGGCAGTCATATGGCCACCAACAGTTTTAAGGAGAAGACAACACTAAAGCATAAAAAAAAAGTGGAAGGAAGAAAGGAAAATATATTTTTTTTTAAAAAAAGGTTTTTCTTTTAGTTAATACACAAAAAATAGGAGATTGGGGTATGTTTACAAATTTGGATATTTTTTTCCTCTTAGAATATGCCGCATTGAGAGTAAGGTTCTGTTTAAAGATATAAAAAATTAATAATAAATTTGAACAAATTAAGAATTTCTTAGTCTTGGTAATATCAAAAGACAGTATCTCAGACAAAAATATTTAGTCCATACCCTAATGACCTCAAGGGACTGTAATACCCATTGAATAAATGATTGGACCAAAAAATTTGTGTTGATTTAAAATGTATTTCATTCACACATATTTCATTAGGTGCCAAATACTACTTTTTAAACAAGATGCATACAAGATCTAGTATATTTTTTTCTAAATACAGCCCCATTGCAGAAACATTTTAAAACCACTGTTTATTTTTGTATCCAACAGATGTCAGTAACTGATAAATTTCCAACATTAGCTGAATAAATATAGGATTTTGTTTTTAATAATACCTCATTGCAAAATTTTACCCAACAATCTTGAGGAGCAGAGGAGAAGTTAAGCAAAATTTCCATTGAGATTATAGTATTTATAGAGATGAGAACTAACCAGTCTGAAGATTATAGAAAATTTGTTGTGGAAATACACATTAAAATGGTCAAAAAATAGCAAATAGTGACATCCAAACAATATTTGTAAATATTTGTATGTAGCAAAAAAAAAACAAATTTTGTGCATACATTATCAGTGAATATTTAAGATCTTTAAAAAAAAACACTAACGTCCAGTGCACAGAAATGTTAATAAACACTGAAATAGATCATGCTGTACTTATTTATATATTTTTAAAGTTCATTTGCTAAATTTAAATTAAATGTGAAAATCCTTCTGAAATGGAGAACCCCGAGAATATATTTTGAAAATGTGTAATGCTCTAGAAAATATTACTGGGGACTTATGAACAGATCTTGAAATAACCCTGGGTCACAGTATTTTATTCACAGCAGATATTTTATGATTGTAAAACTGTTGATTGATTTATTTACAAATGATGAGATCTTAGATGGATGGATGTGACGATAATAAAAGCTGACAGAAAAGATACACTACTGGAAAAGACTTGAGCTAAAACAAACCTTTAACAAATATCTTATTGTGAGAACAATTTTGCTTTGTCAAGAGGATTCTTTAGAAATGATTTTAAGGCGACTTCCATTTATTAGGTATGCACCAAAGGGTTGAGGTGCCAGGATTTTGAGATTTTACATACAGTTGCATATGGGGGACATCTTTCAAACAGATGTTAACTATTTAAATTAGAGATCATGAAAAAAGGCAAGGAACATTTGCATAAAATGCTGACTTCAGTAATCAAATTTCACTTTTTAATACTTTTGACCCATGAGAACCTGAAGTTGTTTTTTTGTGACTTTTAGAGTGTAGGCTCAAAACTGACCATACATTTAATTTTACTGATTATTTTAGAACATGCTATCAAGTGACAGAAAAAAAATATGAAAAAAGACGTTTTTAAGAACCAGAAAAATTTTGTTAAATGTTTTTCATTATGAAAAGGGGTGATTTCACATTGAGAAGGTTCTTGACAAAGGTATGTATGCAAAAATTATGATTTTAAGATTATTAACAGCTTATTAATATAGCGTAAATGAGGCATTCTAATTCTAAAAGTGTTAAGAAATTTTTTTTTGATTTTCAGTGAATATCCAAGAAAACAAGTTTTACATTGTCATTATAAGGTTTTAATTAAAATTCTGTTTTAAGTCACAAGGGGTGTTGAAGATCTAATTTATTTCAGAAATAAAGGGTCTGCCATAACATTCACAAACTCTTGAAAGTGGCTTTTCACAGAAAATGGCTTAATATTTATTACTTAATGCTAGTGGTATTGAGTTAGTCTGCTCCAAAGGAATGGTATTTGGGTAATGAAGAAAATTATAATATAACAGAATATCAACTAGACCAAAAGAAATTCTGATAAAAATTTACTAAGTATGTCTACTACAAATTCAGTACCTATTATATTATCCTCATTGCAAATTCAGACATTCATTTTTGGAAAAAAATTTGCATTGAGAATTTCATGTTTAACTTGTTAATCTTTCATTGTTTACAAAGTAAACTTAACTGTTAGAAACAGTTATATTCAACTTAACTGTTAGAAACACAGAGATTGACAAGATCTGTAAGTAAAACAGAAAGTGCTACCCACGTTGATCTGTAGTTGGTTTAGAATTGTAAATACATTGATCTTAGCAACAACAACAAAATGTGATTTCATCCTCCTTTGTTTACTAAGTTCATTGCTTTTCACAGCTCTGTCACCTCTACCTTGCTGTGTCCCCTCTACCTTGCTTTGTCACTTTTCTGTCAGCTACCTCTGTATTGTTTAATCCTTTCAGTCAGCTATCTGAATTGTAATAATCCAAAGAGAGCAAAAGTTAGTAGACATAGAAAGACAAAAAAAGCAATTAAAAGCTCTATCAAAAGTAAATAATGCACTCAAAATATTTTTGTTAGATAAATTAGTTTATGGTTCAGGTAATGTAATAGTAATAGGCCAAGCCCATTATTCTGGACTAATTTATGACAACTTGTGGTAAAAGATTATTTCTTAAAAATTTTTATCCAGTTTTATAATCAAATTTAACTTTAAAGCAATCCTGTGGATGCAGATTAGAATTACTTTGCCATATAACTTACACTATCCTAAATGTCCTGTCTAAAAAATGTTTGTCCTAATTGTCATGACTTAAGACTGAATTACATTCAATACATTTATTTGAATAAGCATTATTAAATGAAATAATTTTGTTCTAAACCACATTCATTCACACTATTTGCCTGATTATATTTTTTTTAGCTTCTTACTTTGTTGGTTCAGGATGGAGATGATGGACTGTTTAACGGATCCTTCGGTCGAGAAGCCTGTATAAGTTCCTTTATTTTTTCTGGTGTGGGGCCCCAGCGTTTAAATCCTGCATCATTTTGAAGAAATACCACCAGAGTGTCAAAATTTGCTTGAGAACTCATTTTACTTCTGGTGTGGAAAAATATTTTAAAAACAAAATCAGCAAACACAAGTAACTTACTTACACACACTGTGTTTAACAGAAGAAAAAAAATCCACATAGCAATTCAGGTAAAAAATAACCCTTATAGGACACTGCAACTGGGGTTATTACTTCCCTTGTCAACTTTGAGTTATTTTTCCTTAAGGGGCATATACAAAGAATTACAAAGTTAGCTTCGCATATGAAGAAAACACAACTTTAAAGGCATTTGAGACCTAGCGAGTGGAATAAATAATAAAATTCCTTTACTTTTAGCTGGACACTATCTGTTACTGTGTACAATTTTATTACAATTACTTTATTAGTTTACAAATAAAGTATTTAAATTTACCAGCATGTCGGCCGCAGTAACTTTTCATCAAATTTGCCTTTAAAATGTGAGGTTATTTATTTTAATTGGAAATAATAATTGATAAAATATCTTTAAATTTAGCGTGACGCATAGCGTTACTATGTACAATTTTATTACAATAGCTTTATAAGTTTAAAAAATGAAGCATTTAAATGTACCAACATGTCAGCCACATTAGGTTTTTTCCAAATTTGTTTTTAAAATGTGGAGGTTAATTATGTTAATGTGACATAATAATTAATAAATGTCTTTAATTTCAGCTGGACACTATCTTTTACTATTTTAATAACTTCATTAATTGAATAGTTATACTACTTTATTTTCTTTTAAGTTGTCAATTTTGAGTTGTCTCGATACACTTCATCCATACAGTTCAATCAAATTAATTCTTTGAATTGGTCTTCAAACGCCAGCTGTAATCTTTTCCGCAATATGTTTAATGTTATTTCTACACACAAATATTATCTCCTAGACAAACTCTTATATTTAATACACACATGACTGGCAAGATGCAGTCAGTTTACTAACACTAAAGAGAAAACCAAAATGATTGACATTACTTTCACTGTTTTAAAATCTGACCACAACTGTTTGTGCTTGCTGAGATATTGTTTCTGTTTCTAGGCGAAAAAGATTAACAAGGGAAAAAAATTCTGTTTCTTCAGAAGGTTGCAGTGTCCTATATCTCCACATGCTGCAATAGCTCAGCATAAAAAATTAATAAAGCTTTAGGAGTTTTAACTTCATTTGTTTCAGGAGAGATGAATGAATGCAAAACTCATTTATTAAAATATTTAAATTTTATTAAGAGAGACTTTTTTGTTATTATAATGCATGGGGATTTTAAGGGGATTTTATTCACAAATCTTATATTGTTGGCATATAAAGGTAACACAGTGTGGAATAAAGGAAATAATCTGCTGATTTATGTGAACATTGAGTGCCTAAATATTATTTTCTCATTGAATTATAGAAAATAAATAATTTCTTTCACTTCTTAAAATAAACCTTTAAATGTTTTTCAAAACTTTGCTTACTTAGCAGTTGGTAAATGCTGAAAGCCATGACGATATTCATGCTCTAGAGCCGGTAATGAAAATTCTTTTCTTTTAAACCTGTAACAAAATTGTATTTGAATATAAAGAAATATCTTCCAAATAACTGCGACGTTCATTCAATAATTGGAAGAATAAATTCAAATACTTTGCCATTACTTTTCACAAAGCTATTTTTATTTATTTTTTAAAAACAACCCCCAGATTAATTAATTTCAATATAAGCATTAGTAATTTTAAGCAATAAACATTTATTTTTAAAAAATTAGGTATATTTAATATTTTCTTAATTTAAAATGCTAGTCAACATGTTATTGATAGCATAAGTACTGTTCATCCAAGCCAAGTAATGAAAGAGAAAAGCATAGAAATAAGAAAAATAAATCATACTTGCTGTTCTCCAGACGTATCAAGGCTTCTGTTGGGGGGTCCCTCCAGTCAGGAATAAATACAACGAATGAAAGTGGTTCACTGGTCTCACGAAGTAAACTTTCCATGTGATCTACCATGGCCTCCATGAGTTCTTCAGAAAATGGTGGATTAGCTTCAAAAGATCCACTTGTGGGGTAAAAGTCTAAAAATGGTCTGATGAATAACAGGACAAGTTATGAGAAAAATCGAAAAGCAATGAGAAGGTTAAGTTCTTTATTCATTAATTGGGAAATCTAGATACATAATTACCAGTATTACCTGCAAAACTTGCATGCATTTATTTTACAAACTGTCACATATCTCCTGAAGTAAGATGAGCTAAGCCATTTCGGTACAAATAAAAACATGTTACAATTCAAATATCTTTAATGAGCAGAAAAAAACCTTACATCTACTTCCTTGAAAAACTAAAACAAATATCTAATTAACAGATATAATATGTATATTTATTATTTTATATATCATATATATATATATGTAAATAAAAGTAAAAGTTTGTTTGAGGCTGGCTGGATTTGTTCCACATACGTTTTTACATGGATTGATGGATCAAACTTGGCACATATATCCATCATTATCCGGAAGGAACTCTTAAGGGGTTATGAACTTTTTATTACACAACATTTGCGAATCCGGGGGCCCCGAATTCATTTTTTTTCCCTATATGAGCTATATAAAAATAATTAGAAACAAATACTCCTACATTAATAGATTGATATTGACCAAACTTAGCACACATACACTTGATTATCCATACTCAAATACCGAAGGGTACTGAACTCGTAATATCCATTCCTCTGTGGCCTGGGGCCCCATGTCATTTTTCCTTATATAAAATATATATAAATACAATAGGCTTAGACAACGCTATAGGTTCTATGTGAATTCATGAATCTATGCCTAGCTTGATAGCAATAACTTTCATCATCCGTATTTAAATATCGATGGATTTAAAACTAATAATATCCAATCCATGCAGGGCCGATCTAGAATTTTCTAGAAAGTTCGATAATTTTAAAAAAGGTATATCTATGGCATTTTCAAACCGATTTTAATGAGCAAATTTTAACTCTATAATTTATCTGAATGAATTTTATAGGCCCCCCCCCCCATCTAGACATAACTAAAACGGTACTTTATTAAATGGGCCTCTACTGGCCCCCTATTTCAATTTAAATGTACTATAGTTATATTAGTTCAATTTAGTTTTGAAATATTTTGCAGTCGAGAAATGATTATGTAGAAAAGTAATTAATTACACATTTCATGGAGGATATTAAATTTAATCTAGAATGTTCCAGAGGGTTCTATATTGTTATACGGGGATATATAATGGATCTATAAGCTTATTCGAACAAAATCGCACTGAGAATGCTCCCATCGGAAAGCGGGATTGCGTCGGGATCGGGGTCAGAATGTGATGGGGTACTACGGGATCGCAGTCCCACCAAGATCGGGGTCCTAATGCGATTCCCGGGCCATGCCGGGTATATTGGATAGTATATATAAAATTTATATGTACAGTAGCACAACTAGGATTAGTGCCGCCATATAAAGAAAAAAGTGCCCCCGGGCAACCCCCTTCATCCACCACTCTGTATATATATTTGTATATATAAATTTATATATTTTTGCTGGCATCCGTCCGTCACATGTGACGATGGTGTTGGCTTCGGGGGGCCGAAATCCACAAGGCCTGGGATTATTCTTCAAGGATTATAAGCTGGTCCCCAACAACAAATCACCTCTCTCCACGCCACTGGATAATCCAAGGGAACATCATTTGGATGAGACAGCTTGGCACCAGTCTTTGGATGAGACAGCTTGGCACCAGTGACGTCGCAGGAGTTGTGGAATGTTTCATTGTACCAATGTTATCCGCCTTTCGAGACTCCATCTCTGGGTTTGATTTCAGAGTTTCCTTCTCTTAGATGAGTTGCCATCCAAGGTTAACGAATCCCCTCTACCCGGGATATTTATATATATATAAATAGATACATACATTAAGCGCCATTATTAATTTTGATTTCAGTTGGCCAAAACTTTAAAAGTATAAAATTATCCAGCATGCCTTACCCTCTGGAGCCGAAGTAGCCATCTGTGTCTGGGAAAGCTGAACAATACTGTTTGAAGTAACAGTTAAAGGGAGAAGCAAAACATTCAAATGTCACACCAAATATCCTGTTGAGACATTCCATTAATGATGGCGTAAGGGCACCCTGGTTACCAATGCCTTCATTTGCTGAGGTTCCAAAATATGTCTGGTGAATGAACGCATATTTCAGTTCATACATTCATAAGGAGAAAAGAATGTTCAAATAAACTATTTGCAGTTTTTTTTTCTTTTTTAGAACTTTAGAGCAAATTAACCTTTGTGAAATTTAGCAGTGGCAAAATATAATTGATTAAAATTTAGCAAATCTTTTTTCATGGGTTGTTGATAATAGCAAAATTAACCCAACCCCTTCAGCTTGCCTAACAGAGTTTTTGCAAATGATACGTCATGGGGGACTTCTGAAGTGCTAGACAAATGTGGATATACCAGGACAAACATTTTGTGGATAGTTGGTAGACTGATATGGACTTACTTGATATCTTCTAAGCAAACACCAAACTCTTGATAGGAAATTATCAAAACGTGGATCATCTCGACAGTTCAACCCATATAATTGTTCCTGAAAGTTTAAATTTAAATTATTAACATAAAGTTAACGATATTTTGAAATAATAATGGCTAGTCATACAAACTTAAAGAAAAGTATGGATCTACCTATTTCATTTTGTCTCCAGTCACAATTGAGCCACCATGTTTTTTTTTCAATTTCATATTTTCTTGAAATATAAAGAATTAGGTAGTAATTTTTCAAATTATCAATTATAACACTTACTTTGAATTTTGTAATGTCCTTAAAGTTTAAAAAGAAATTTGTCAAACTGTTTACGACAGTTTGATTGAAATGATTGTTAGGATTATACTTTTTTGATGGTTAGATATTTTTAAAATGTTATTTTAATAATAAGATGAACCTCATTGGATATAAAAATATGTGACAAATGTTCTTTCATAACATTTTTTAAAATAACATATTATTTATAATACACTATGTCCTGCTTTGACATCTTAATGTATAGTTGGAGATATTTCAAAGAAACATATTTTCATATTTTTTATAGTTTTAATTCAAAGCTTTTAGCAATTCTCAAAATGTCATTTGGACTTTCAAATCAAAAATGATTTATTTATTTAAAATTACATAAAAATATACAATATATATGGTTGTGTCCCTATTTTTCCTTAGAGAAAAATTTCCATTTACAATCATGTAAAAATGGATTCCCTAAACCCGTGGTTCTCAACCTTTCTAATGCTGCAACCCTTTAATACAGTTCCTCATGTTATGGCGAACCCCAGCCATAAAATTATATTCCTTGATACTTCATAACTGTAGAGTATATGTGTTTTCAGATGGTCTTGCGACCCCCAAATGGGTCGTGACCCACAGGTTGAGAACCGCTGCCCTAAACAATAATGTTATTTGTTATTGCTCAAAGATATCTACCCAAGTCCCTTGCTTTGATTGCTAATTAGATGCATCTATAATACTGGACATGCTGAAATTTGCAGATTTATTAGATTGTCCTGCTTTAGTAATACGTGCATTATTTTGTCATTACTTGATCTATCGGCAGCGTTCGATACGCTTCACCACGGCATACTTCTCCAGTGTCTGCAAAAAAGTTTCGGTTTTACTGATACTGTCCTCAGATGGTTCCGCTCGTATCTGAAAAATCGGGTCCAATCAGTTATCGCAAACGGCTTGACCTCGAAGCAATCTATTATCAAATTTGGAGTACTCCAGGACTCGGTCCTAGGCCCAGTGCTGTTCACTATGTACTTTCAGCCCCTGGGTGCAGTGATCAAGCAGTTTGACATGCTATATTACATGTTCGTGGATGATACCCAACTTCAGCATCCGTGATCCCCTCTCAGTTCCCTTAGCTTCTTAGTATGACACAGAATACAGTGGAGTCAGTTAAGCACTGGATGAACATAAACAAGCTCAAATTGAACGATGAAAAGACCAAGCTGATCCCCATTGCTACCGCTCAAAAGCTGAAATCTGAAAATAACACACCATCCCTTACTCTCTCAGGAATACAGATTGAGTTTGCTCAAACAGAGCGAAACCTGGGTGTCTACTTGGATAGAACACTAGCTATGGAAAATCACATTAAAATGCTTTGCAAGGCGATTTTTCTAGAGCTGCGCAGAATTAGTCAAATCAGACCTTACGTTTGATGCAACAAATAGACTGATGTATGCATTCGTGATATCACGCATGGACTACTGCAATGCTCTCATGGTGGGTCTTCCAGCTACGATCCTGCATAAAATTAAAAAAGCACAGAATAATACGGCTCGCATTGTTCTTCGCAAACGCAAATTTGACCATGCTAAAACACTTCTGAGAGAGTTGCATTGGCTGCCGGTTCGCGCTCACATAGAGTACAAAATTGCAACTCTGTGCTACCGCTGCTTGCATGACCTGGCACCATCCTATCTCAAAGCGCTTATGACAACTTATGTACCCACTAGACAACTCCGCTCATCCGGTTGTGGCAAACTCTAGATACCACGTGTTCGCCTCGAGACTTACGGAAGGAGCACTTTCGCATTTGGTGGCTCAACAATTAGGAACACACTTCCCGACGCTCTCAGAAACAGCCAGACACTGGAGACTTTCAAAACCGAATGGAAAACACATCTATTAGGCAAACACCTGCTGGGGTGATGTTGTCTACCATCTTTTCCAGCTGGCTATTATCTCCTAGATGTAAATTGGCCTGAGTTGTATATTTGCAAGGGATGAAAGACTTAGAATGGGTATTCTCGTATATAGTTTTTGTAATGTTGCGTTTTGTATTTCAATGTGGTATAATATAGATTTTTTCATATCTCTTTTAATATGGTTGACTTTGTACAGCTCTTGTAGCCTTTGGGGATGAAGCGTGATTTTCAAATAAACTTTATTATTATTACTTCTTATTTTATTCCATAAACTTACCATTTTCCAAAAATGTTCCTGGTTCATTTTAAGAGGTTCATTTTTGTACCGTAGCTGAGCAACCTCATTCTCAATCTGTCGTTCTACTACAGGGAGTCTCAAGGATGGAATGCTCAGCTGAACTGCGTAACAGTATGTAAGTCTGGGGTTAGATGGTGCCGGCAATGGGCTACCTTCTGGAGATTATTAAATATTTGTTAAAGTTAATTAAATATCACAATTGAAAAAATCCATAAAACTACATTTATGAGTTGTGCAGTACTTTCACATTACCAGCACTTCAATATTACATTTAGTAGAATTTGAGTAAATCAAGGCATCCATAGAGCAAAACTGATCTTTTTTCATTGTTAAATAAAATATAGATGCTTTCTTTTTAACATGTTACCATTATTATAATAAAAGTTACCTGAGATATTTTGCTCGTTATATATTTCATGAGTCTTAGCTTGTATTTTCTGTGCACTTTCTGATGAAAGCTTATACACTGTGGTCACTATTGCTTTCACTGATTCCTCTGCAGCCTCATACAAGAAAGGTTGACACTGACGTTTTAAATGTGTAGATCTTTCCTATAAAAACAGGAGGGTGAATAAAACAATGCTATGATTGTTGATGTGGCTGTAAGCAGATGATTAATTCAAGAGATAACTGCGGTCTTTACAATAAATTATAAAAATAATAAGATTGTAAACAAACTAAATTTTGTTTTATGAGATTGGATACTCATGGGATCAAGACATTCTTGTGATTGTGAAATTCTTGAGATTGAGACATTCATGAGATTTATGAGTTTTATGCAATATCTTATGCTTAAAATCAAAGTACTTTAGCCTGAACGGTTTCACAAGCAAATCTCCACTGATACCTGGATGCTTTACTAAAATTTTAAAAATGTACCTTTCTGTATCCGACCACATTAATAAAAAACTGGATAAATCTCGTACAAGTAATCTTTTTCATTTTTTTCATCATAACTGGTTTGTGTTCTACCATTTTGACAATTATAATTATAACTTTCACCAAACAAAATTTTTTTTACTGTGTTCATTAAAACAAAAACACATTAAGATGTTTAATAATTACTTTTACATCACACAGTTTAAATAGTTTGCAGCTGCATTCAGATATGAGTTGCCCTCGTTCCCCCCCCCCCCCCCCCCTTAAACTTAGGAGGTTAAAAATTAATAATGAGTTGTGCTGCAAGTATTTTTAATTTGATACTTTAATAAAGTTCAACATAGAACTTGTTTGAAAAAAGGAATACAAAAGTGTAAAAAAATTCTTGAGTTACCCAAAAGTATTTAGCTGAAATTATGTTAATTTAAACATTAGAGAGAACTTACCAAATAATCTTCGTAAGAACTGTTGTGCTTCTTTCGTAACCACTTAAATGTTTCATCAACATTCCACTTCACAACTTTTCGACCTTCTTGTGAAGTAGTCCTACTATTATGAATTTAAGAAGAGGAAAAAAATTATAAAATATATATTGACACAATAACTAGCTAATCTTTAAAAGTAAAAAAAAAAAAAAAAAATTTCTTTATTCAAAAAAAAACAAATGATTAATAATTAGAATAAGAATGCATCTTTTTAAAAATATGTCACAATACTCATAATAAGATAAAAGATTTTATTACAGATTTATTTAACAATGAATAATTCAATCACTACATAAAAATAAAGTGAAATTATTAAAATAACTACTTTTTTTTTTTTACAGAAACTTTTTTTCAGCTGTTCAGGAAATGCATTTTTTTTTCAAGGTTAGCTTTCTTTCCTAAACTTAAGCTAGTACTGATGAAGCACAAGATTAAGGATGCAGACACTCCAATAGCATTTAAAAAAAAACAAAAAAAAATTTACAAGAATGTACCTTGTTTCAATCATTTTCTTGGCTGCTTCAGCATATTTGAACAATTGTTTTCGTGCATCTGATGATAGTTTGGGTTTGATAACTTTGATGGGGATGTCCTCCATTATTTCATGAACAAGAGAATTGGACAACTCAGGGGTGCAGTCTGATGGCAAAAGTGGATCTTTTCCTTTGTCAATCACTTTACGTTCCAAAAGCCACCTGTTAAAGGAGTCTACTGGAGCATCTATATCTAGCGTAGAATATTAAAAAGTTAAATTACAGTTTCTGAACGAAGGGTCAGTGAACTGGGGTAAATTACCCCAAATATGGTAAAAATGAAATGCTCAGGAGGATTGTATTAATTTAGGCCAATTTTCTCATATTTACATTACAGTTTTTATAATAACTATATTCTCCATCCATGTAAGTTGATTAAACAAACCATTTTTATTTTCAAAAGTCTATAATTTTCTCCCTTTCAAATTGAGGGTTTAACTTGTAATTAAGCATTAAAAATATATTTTGGGATAATTGTTAAAAAAAAAATATATATAATTTTATTTCGTCTGCAGCAAAAAATGTGGGTTCAAAAGGAAATGGCCAAATTTCCATAAGCACATGAGCTCCACTTTTGGCAAAAGTAAAACAGGAGCTTTTGAATCCATTTCATGTTCATGAAGTAAATTGTTTTAACTTGAATTTAGATTTTACATCATGTGAATGCTTGCATACCATTAACCTTATTTTTGCATAACTTTTACCTAATTACTAATATTGATGCTGAATATCTTACATGTGATATACTCAGAAACAAGCAGTATATTCCTCTGGTTTATCCTTGTAAATTATTTTTTTTTTATTTTTACATAATTTCCATAATATAATTAACTGTTAAATTCTTAAAGAAAATGTTTATACAGTTTGTGAATTAATGTCTGATTAGACTGGCTTTTTTTGTTTTATTAACAATTATTTAAAACAGGTGCAGGTAGCTTTTTTCATTAATGTAGCATTATAAAATAAAATTGAAATAAACTTTATGGTCTATAACCGGTTAACTTTCTTTCCCTTTGTATTGAGAGTTCCAACAAAAAAAAAACATCATTTTATTTTTGTTTTACTTACTTTCTCGCTGTGTACACATATCTTGATATTTTTTACGGAGCTGCATGACTAGCAAGCTTCTTGTGGATTCAATTTCAGGATGGGGTGGTGGTATGTGCAATGGTGCTCTCTCTTTTATCACTGCATTTGTTGGAATATCAAAATTCCAGAACGGTCTAGAAGGAAAGAGTTGATTAATGGCAGTTTTTACAGAAGACATGCCTTGCATACTTTGCTAAAACAGCAAAGTTTCCTTGTTAAATGGTTGCATTAGTTTGCTTATGAATTTTTACCAAATTCTGACATGAATTTGATATCTGGAACATTCGTTTTAAAATTATACATTTTAAAAATTGAATTAAACCTACTTGTAGTTTAATTGTGCTTTCTTCAAAGGACTCCCAACACATAATTCTGCGCTTGCTCTTCGCTTTGCTACAGCTGGAATAGGATTCAGCTCTGTGCTTGGTCGGCTAAGTCTTTTGTCAAGGGAACCTGGAACTGGTATACCACCATTTGTTGTGTCTGTGTTAATGCCTAAGGGGTCAGTTATTGGATCATGCTAAAGAAAGAATTAGAGAAGAAAAAAATGATAATTACGATTTGATAGCTCAACATCATAAGAAATAAAGAACTGAGGGAGTGTAGTGCACAAATACTTGCTGAGGGTGAAATTCTACAAAGACAATTGATATGGATCAGTTGCACTTACATTTTTCGATAGAAACATTAGCTGGGGTTGAGTTAAGTCATGATTTTGTAAAACTAAAAATTATTTTTTAAATTAATTTGGCCATGTTTTGAACATTTTTTTTTTCTTTATAGGTTTGGCACTTCTACTTCTAGGTGCATACAATGTGGGGTATATTTATGTTCAAGAAAATCTCACATTTTTTAAAGCGGTTTTGAAACAAGATTCAAACATTTAACATTTTCCAGCTTCTTGACTCACATTGTGCGGACCACCACTTTTAGGAAACACTGGCTTACACAATTTAAGAAATCAGCTTAAAAGTTACCACAAAAATATGTTCATCCTGACAAATTTTTTCAAGTTCAACAATTGTAAACAGAAGAGAATTACTGCCAAAAAAAAGGATATAATGGAATGGGAATCAACATTTACCTCGCACCTTTGGCTTACAAGGTACATTGTATATAAGCGCTGAAAGGGTAAAACGTGGACCACTGCTATGAATTTTAATCAATATTTTTAATAAACGTAGACATGGGTGTAAATTCCATTGTTATGAATTTTTACTCACTGTATATTTTCAATAAACACAGGCAAGGGTGTGCAACCAAGGTATAAATTAAAATGTTAATTAAAATTTCTGAACCCTTTCACCATTTAGATAATAAAATATTTACAAAATCAATATATGCTCACCGCAACACCTAGCATGGGAGTCTCCCAGAGAGATTCATTAGTCAGTTTGTTAAAATAATATGGTCGACCTTCACGTCTACTCCAGAACTTCCTCCAGCCTGCTTGCAGCAACTCAGGTGCAAGATCATGAACAGGATCTGGTGACATTGGTTGTGGAGAACTCTGATCCAAGTTCTGGGAATTCTGCCGACCAACATTGCCAGTTTTAGAGTTATTGGTAGTGGGTAATGTTGTCTGCACATGCAGATTACTGGTAGTTTGATTTTTATAGGCTCCAGAAATCCCCACTGAAGGCACAGATGAGGATGCCTCTGGTACAATTTGTCCAGACATAGTTAATGAAGATCAGAATATGGTCGTAATTTATGGTCTCCTGTAATGAATTAGAAAATTGTAATGAGTTTCAATGCAAAAACATTTACTATTTACCACTTAACTTACTCCTGGTACCCTATAAAAGAAAAAAACAACAACAGGGCCCCAAAAATCCTTACACAAACAGATTTGACTTCATGAGTTAATAACTTAAAAAGGATACAATTTATAACTCAAAATATTTTAAAGATAAACAAGATGTAATTAAATAAGTTTAAAATTTCATTACAAAAATGTATGGACTGTTATCCTGATTATCAGTGTGCTTCCACCACTTGCAAAAGCTAATTGATCACTAAATAAGTCATTATTGTCAGGTTTTTATGCTCAAGAAGTACTTTAAATGTCTTGTATTTAAATTGTTCTTGTTTTAAAATGTATTGGTTATAATCATAGTTATTAATGTGCAGCCCTTGAATGTGTAAAATGTATTTAAAAAATGCATTTATTTGGATCAATAAAGAAATATTATATTATCTTAAAGTTTGTTAAGGTAAATGAAATAAAAAATTCTACAGTATGGTAGTTTCTTACTATATTTAATGTCAAAATTGTTTTTAAACGGCATTAAATTCTAGCCAAATATTTTAAATATAAAAATCAACATTTTAAAAATATCAGCATTGTTGGCACAATGACCCAAACACTAAGTCAACAAGTCATCTTATAGTTATACCTATAGATGAGTGCCTGTAAGCAGGGCTGTCACATGACTTTTGGAGGCCTCTCTGCCATTTTTGGGACTTTTGCCTCATGCAGTGTAAATATTTTTTCCACATCACAACTTTTGTCCCCTTAAATATCCAAAACTGCAGGGCCCACCCAACGCTTCTGAACGTCAGATGCATTTAATATTTAAATTACCGGTATACATTTTTTCAAGTAAAATACCAGTAATCCATTTTCTATGAGAAGTATTTTATAAGAAAATTTTAGATTTTATAAATGCATGTGTAAAATTCATAATGTAGTACAAATTAATACCATTGAATTAAATATAAGTTGACATTTTCATATTTTTCCCAGATAGACATATACTTTTCAATGATAATAAATTCAGGAATATTTTTTAATTGAAATTCCCAATAATTATACCTACCAAATTTAAAAGATGGATCAAATTTCAAGCTCTTAGAAATACTTATCCATCATAATAAATTATATTAAAATATAGATACACCGGTAGGCCAAACATTTCTTTAAGTATTAGTCGATTTGACTACCGGTATTTGAGAAAAAAGCTCAATGAGAAAAGGTTGCATGGAGATGAAAGAATCTGACAGAATATAGGTGGAATGTACTGCCATTGATGAAATATAGGCTAATACCTGGACTAAATTCAAATGACATGCCTTTATAAAAAGCTTGTCATTTTTAGAAATTAAAATACGTGAGGCGAAAATTAATAATGAAAAAATTAATAAAGTAAATGAACTTTATTATAAAATAATCGAGCAAACAATAAAAACTTTTTTGTTATTGTGATAATACTTGATAAGAAAATAAGCTGAATTTTTAAACAATAAAACCAAGAAAAGATATTCATCTCATCAGGATGAAATCTTAATCACTGGTGAAATAAAATACTTTTTTTAAAGTGCATCAGCCAATCAATGCTTTCCTAATTTGAATATTATGTTTATTTAGGACTTATCAAACTTATAAGTGTAGGATAGGTCTAATTTGAATAATTGTTAAAAAAACTTAATTGTTTGTCACTGTTACTTGTGTGTTATTATTTATTACAGGACTATCAATATACCATCACTATCAGTATGTATTAAACTTTGATTCAATGACATGTTACTTTTTATTAGGCCTATCTATAAATTATAAAGAAGAAGTGAGTTTTTAGATGAAGAAAAAAACAACATATTTTGTTGATTTGATAGCTTTAAATTATTGTTTCCAGACCTATTTCTAATACTAATACCGGTACTTAGACTTAGTCAAGTTAGCTTAGCTGTTTAATTTTATAATTACCCATGAATTCACTGAAGGATTTTTTTATTAACATTTCATGGAACATTCTTTGACTTTTTAATTATTAGAGCCATTTAGTTTTATTGCTGTAACTTTCTTTACAGTTAAAAATCATGGCCTACTTAGTAGTACTACTTAAGTTACTTAGTCTTACACAGCACACTGGCTAGTAGGACAGTGGAGACTAGACGCTGAATCAGAATGTGACTAGATGGATGGGGTAATTTATATTTATTCAACAAAACAGTATTTAACTTTCATAAAAAGACAAAACAGTGGCTTAAACCTCCATGACATTCGTACAACAGTAACACTATTTACAACTACAACAAAGAATAAAAAGGGAAGACAGACAATTGTTTGTGCAGAATTTGAAGAGGCACGAAGTGTTATAATTTTCTTTAATTTATAATTTGATATGCGCTCAGAATAATAGTGTCCATTTAAATGAACATATTAAATCGAATGTTAATGCACTTTATGAGCTGCATGTCGGCTATCCAGAAAAGCACTTACAGAAACTGTAAGCAAAAACTTTTCTAGTCGACAATGGGCCCGTAATGCAGTGACGCCATCTTGCCTTGGCTTTGGGGTTTGGGGGAAGAAATATATAAAAAATGGTAAGAGAAATAATTTTGGAGAAAACAAATAAAATCGTATAATTTATTGTCATTTAACGTTTATGTTATTTAAATAAATACTATATGCATAAGGCTAAATAGATTTTTAAAAAATAAAATACATTAAAAAATTTATAATTTATCTGTATTTAATTCGTTATTGACTGTTATTATTATTTGTAAAAATTCAAATTATTCTCATTTCATGTTTTATACTATTCTAGCTATAAAGCGTCACTATAAATTTGCATAATTTATTCATTAAGAATCTTTAAAATTATTATGCAAAATCGTAGCTGGTTTCAATCATTATCATAATATTCTATTAATTGTACAGTTCTTTCCAAAAACTGAAGGTGTTTTCTTTACATCATATTTTAAATTAAAAAGGCCTAGACGTTTACTTTTTAGTTTTAGATACCGGCCTAGAGCGGCGGAGAGCCGATCATTGACACTGCATTGGTTTATTATAGGTGCTGCAATCATAAAAAGCTGTGCCTGGGACAAAGCCTGAAAATGGCGTTCCGTGTTTCATGAAAAGACGAGTTTGGTCCTCCGTGATGTTGTCTCCAGTGGCGGTTGATCCATTCGCAGGGCTCTAGCTGAAATATAGGATAGGCTACAACTTAACATCTACTTCTACTACGCAACACTGTGACTCAAGATGTTAATTTACCAAAAGTGGTATGGTATATAATCGGACTTCCCCAAAGATCCTCCAAGAGACGTAGGATACGATGGGAAACTGCCAATATTCCGAAGAAATTTGAAAAATTCACTCTAGACTAGTCGACCAAGTAAAAGAAAAAGTACCTTCGTTGGCTCTGTGACAGCGATACGGGGGGGGGGGGGGGCATTTTTTTTAGCTACCAACCACTTTTTTTTTTTTTTTTAATTAAATTTTTTTTTTTTTTTTTTTCTTTTTTTTTTTAATTAAAATTATTGCTTGTTTTTTATGCCCCTCAGAATATGTAGCATTTACCACAGAATGATTCTGTTTGACATATAATAGGCCCCGAACTGGTTTCGCTACAAATTACTTGTATTATGAGAAGCAACCTTGATTATTTTTTCCCATCATTTGCATGATCATTTAAAAAAAAAAAAATGAAAATTGCAACAACAAAAAAGGAGGAAAAAAGTTTAGTATTTTATTTTTTCGTATAGGGTAACCAATTTGGGGCGTTCGTATGGGCCACCCGCCCTGGGTGCCATCTTCAGAAGGCTCCAAAATCGTCATATTTTTTCCACGTAAAAAATGTGTATTTATTAATATATTCTTTTTGGGAAGCGGGCGCCTATATTCACAGCGTGTGCTTACCGCAGCCTTTACGATTTTTTACGATCTTAAAGCCCCGGCTAGTAGGCCTACACTGGCATTGGCAACCAGCTCTATCTGCTGGACTGTGTCATATAACATTGTCGTGACGTAGGACTCTCCCACAGCCCTGGCCTCCCTCGAATCGTCCAGTGCAGGTAGTCAACAGATGCGCTTACTGTCCCTGGGGCCAGGATGGTCGGACCCTGCTGTTGTCTTAGATTGTTGAAAAGTATGCGTTAGGGAGCAGTGTTTGGTTCTCATTTGGGTGACCAGACTGTGATGTCGGCCAACCAGTTTCCACCAGGGGTCTTGTCTTTTAGGAAGCGACATGTTAGTGACTACACCTCTGGCCTTCGTGGTGTCTGACCATTGTACCTACCGTTACCACTTGCTTCTTAAGTGGTCTGTCAGCCAGTTTTTGACACTGGGATAAGTGACTGGTGTTTCTGGGTGAGACTGGGCAGACCCGGTTTTTGCCAGTGTATCCATTGCACCGTTAAGGTAATAAAGGGGAGAGACGTTTAGAAAAATGGAAATAGTGAAACAAAATATGGGAAAACATGAAAAAAAGAACGCAATGACAGCAAGAGGATACATTCAGGGCCGTGCGCCAGAGTATTTGGCACCTAGGCGAACCGGTCGCACTGTGCCCCCCATGCACACGGCAACTAATTATTTAATTAATAGTGCCGCCCCCTAAAAATTTGCCGCCCAGTTCGCCTAGTGGTTAAACCGGGCCTGGATACATTCCTCCACTAATAATTTCAGCGAAGTGTTATTTAATTATGTTGTACTAGCCCGCGTCTATGTCACACGTGCCTTGGGTTCGAGATGGATTGGAGCCATTTTGAGGCGCTTAGAAAAACCTAGTTATGACATGTGTGGACGGACACATAAAGAAGTCATAGGGGGTGCGCTCTTTTGAAACTATTTGCGCCTAAATTGTGGAACAGTTTGCCTCAATGTTTGAGGGACACTGAAAATTATTTAAAAAAAAAAAAAGTAATTTAAGAACCATTTAAAGACTTTTTTCTTTAAGTAGATTTTATGACATCAGAGCATGAACACAAGCGCTATAAAAGTACTCAGTCATAATGATGAAAACATTTCTCAGCCCACAAAAAGATCTTTTTTTTTTCACTGCAAACTCATGTCAGGCCTACAGTAAGTGTTGTCTCAATGTTATCACTTAAAGAAATGGATGGTTATTCATTTCAAGGGAACATGTTCATAGATTATGGTCCAGAGAGAGAGGAACCAATAACCAAAAGCAATAAACAAAACGAACATTAAGTGGAATTAATTTATTCGTAACCCATTTTTAATATATTTTAATTTTGTTACAAAATGAAAACAAGAACAGTTTAACTCTAGGCAAAATTTTAACAGAAATTATTTATGCCTGAGATATTAATTGGCATTTTATTTAAAAAAAATTTTTTTTTTTAAGTTTTAAAAAATTGCATTTTTTGAAGTGAGGGCGAGTTTTAATAATGAACTCCTGGAAATTAGTTTAGCTTTGATGGAATTGAAAGTCACATGGGAGAAATATTTCCAGATTAAATTAATAATGTTAGCAAAAAGTATACCCCATATAGAGACTCCTGATCATGTCTGAATTGACAGCCTTATGTAGATTTCTTGAAGACACAATATGGATTTACCATTTGTAATGAGGGATTAGTATGGTCCCCTTGGAAAAATCCAGAAAATTTATTTCTAGTGCTCTATGTTGATGAAGTGGACACTTCATATTTGCACTTCTGAGTGGTGGGTTGATATGGCACATTTTCTTTTTAGATGTAACTTTAGCTTAATGAATGAGATCTTAATAGCCTAAATAACAGTGACATAAAAATATGGGAGATTTTTAAAAAAAATTGTATTCTGCTATTTTGATATGATTTTAACTTATATTTCATATATTGTTTAATACTGTTTAATTTATAAATGTAATTCCCAAAACATTAAGATAAAGTCAAAGGGCACAGCTATATGTAAATTCAAGCTCATCAAGAGATATTTTTGTCTGATTGCCTTTTCTCAAAAAGAAAAAAAACTGGCAATAAAATGAATTTATTTTATTGCCTTTAGAGAAAAGGAATGATTCTAAATAACACTGAAGGCACTAAACATATAAACTAATTACAGCGGAACCTCTCATAACGAGCACCTCTCATAACAAGTAATTCGCATAACGAGCAAAAAAAAATGTGAAGAAGTTGCTCCCTTAATGAGCGACATTTCGCATAACAAGTTACGCAGAAAGGGGAAGTCCCCTTTTCCTTCACTTCTGCTTGAAAGAAACTGGCCAGAGAGTGTTGTTGAATGTGATTTTGAAGAAACAGCACCTGTGGAGTCTACAGTTAACGAGATTGTGTCATTGGCCAATATCATGGGACTCGAGGTGGACAACAATGATATTGAAGAGCTTGTGAAAGAGCACAGTCAAGAGTTGACCACCGAAGAGCTTATGGAGTCGCATCGTGTTTCACAGCAAGAAATTATGAAGGAGAGCTCATTAATGGAGAAGGAAGTAGCAGAGCAACAATCTTCTAGTGCAATAAAAGAAATGCTGAAAGCCTGGGAAACTGTTGCATCGTACATTGAGAAGCATCACCCTAATAAGGCTATTCGTGCTACATGTTTCTTCAATGATGATAATGTGACACATTTTCGTCAAATTTTGAAGCGTCGGCAAAAACAAATTCTTTAGACAGTTTTCTAGTTAAAGGATTAATTATTTGTCATAAATTCATATTTTTATTTACGTTTTTTGTTTCAAATCTAAATTGAATTCCAAGTTGTTGCACTCCTTAACAATTTAATAAGCAATTTTATTTCAATAAAAGTTAATAAAATTTTTTGAAAAATTAGTATTTTTCAGCATGGAACGCATTATCGTATTTTACATTGATTTGTATGGGAAAAATTGTTTCGTTTAACGAGTAAGATTCTGGAACGAATTATGCTCGTTATGAGAGGTTCCACTGTATTTCCATTTTCATATTTATAATGCTAAACGACACTATTCACTCCTTAGATTGTATGTGATTTGTAAGCTATTTGTTCTGTCAATAAGAAATTTTTGAAAGAAATGTGGCTTCAATATTTGAAGAAAAAAATTGCAATGAGTTGGTGCATCTTTTGTCCAATAGATTGATAATTAACAAACCAACAGCTTGTTGAAAAAAATGAATCGAAAAATAAATGACGAAATATTTTCAACTAGTTGTTTTAAAAAAAAAAAAAAGCAAGATAATAAACTTGATTACCTCTGGAGAGTCATTCATTACATTTTAGTAAGGGAACAAATGCAACTCTCAAAGATTTTGGATTTATGGTTTTTCTACTCAAAGCTTAGTATAGTGGGTGTAAAAATGCTTTTTTCACCCTGTAAAACTGAAAGTCCAGGTCTTATATACATTCGACTGGATCATACAAATTTGAAATAATATCAGTATCAGAGCTGATAATTATATTTGACATGGAATCCTGAAGCTATTTAAACTCAATAGTCAGGAGCAGATAGGATCTCCTTTAGGTTTGTGATGGGGGAAAGTATGGTTCTTCTTATGGAAAAGTTACTTTGAAGGACCTGCAACTTATAGTACCGGTATACATTTAATTCATTTAGAAACTCTGGAAACT